ATCAATTTCAGGTTATGTGAATTTTTTTTTTTTAAAGAGAGAGAGAGAGAGAGAATTTTTTTTTTTAATATTTGTGTTTTTTTTTTTAGTTTTCGGTGGACACAACATCTTTGTTTGTATGTGGCGCTGAGGATCAAACCCAGGCCGAATGCATGCCAGGCGAGTGCGCTACTGCTTGAGCCACATCCCCAGCCCTTGGTTATGTGAATTTTAAAAAATCTAATTTGTGAATGGAACAAATCAGGTGCTAAACAATATCTTCTCTTCATCCACAAATACAAAAAGTCACATATTGTAGAATATTCCATTAGCTGAACTATCAAAAATGGTAAATCCACTGAGATAGAACACAGATCTGGAACACAATATGTGTTCCCATATTCCCAGGGGATATGGGAAGAGAGAGAAAAACTATTTAATGATACAGGATTTTCCTTTTGAGATGATAAAAATTATAAAAATGGTTTGAAACTAGACAGAGGTAGTGATACACACCACTGTGAATATAATAAACATCACTAGATTGTTCACTTTAAAATGGATACTTTTGCCAGGTACAGTGGTGCATGCCTGTAATCCCTATTATTTGGGAAGCTGAGGCAGGAGGCTTCCAAGTTTTGAGGCCAGCCTCAGCAACTTAATGAGAGCCTATCTCAAAAAAATAAAAAGGGCTGGGGATGTAACTCAATACACCCCTGGGTTCAATCCCAAGTAATGAAAAAAAATGCTATATCCATGTAAGAATATACCACAAAAAATCCCACATACAATAATAATTCAATAATTAAAATAATAATAGTAATCATAGAAGGGAGATCAATAGAGTAGAGCAAGCAAATCAGAAAAAGGGAAGAGAGAAAAGAGAAAGTACTAGGGAATGAGACTGATCAAATTATGTTAATACATGTACAAATATGGCATAAGGAATCCCACTATTATGTATAATCATAATGCACCAACAAAAAATATATAAATAAATAAACAAAACAGTCAATTTCAGGTTATGTGAATTTTAAAAAACCTAATTTGTGAATGGAACAAATCAGGTGCTAAACAATATCCTCTCTTCATCCACATAAACTTTTTTTTTTTTTAGTTGTAGTTGTCAATACCTTTAATTTTTCATTTATTTTTTTATGTGGTGCTGAGGATCGAACCCAGGGTCTCGTACACGCTAGGTGAGTGCTCTACCACTGAGCCACAACCCCAGCCCCACATAAACTCTTAATCTCAATGTAATTTAAAATTGTGTCTATCTGTGGATTGTGGTGGTGCACACCTGTAACCCCAGCAGCTTGGGCGGCTGAGACAGGAGAATTTAGAGTTCAAGGCCAGCCTCAGTAACTCTGAGGCACTAAGCAAGTCAGTGAGACCCTGTCTCTAAATAAAATAAAAAATAGGGCTGAGAATGTGGCTCAGTGGTCTAGTACCCCCTGATTTCAATCCCTGGTACCAAGAAAAAATTGTGTCTATCTGAAAAAAATCAGTTTTGTTTCTTGAAGGGAGAGACTGACTACAGCAGGTTGAACTCAACAGTAGTTTTTAAAAATGAATTGTTTAATAAAATTTGCTGGTTATTTTCAAAATAAATTTGCAGGTTTTTTTCTTCAAACCTCTTTGTTGATATGTGTATATAAACATAAACATGTATAAAATACAAATGTGGTAAAAATCATTTTTCAACCATTTTTTCCTAAAGAGTCTAAATATTAAATTTAAATTCTTACCCCCTTCTCTGTGCATCAACCCAGGCCTGGTCTCTGTTATCTTTTTCAGGATCATATAGTAATTCATCATTTGTTGGAATCCTGTGTCGTTTCTTCTTTTTCTTCTTGGTCACCTGTGCTAATGTTTTTAAAAGTTAAGGATATAGCTAAGTATCGTTGGTAAAGTTCACATTTCTTTAACATAAAATAAAGAATCTCCTGTTTATCAAGCTACGTATATCAAGCTACGTATTTATTTTAATTATCCTTAAAAAGAAAAAAATTGGGCTGGGGATGTGGCTCAAGCGGTAGCGCGCTCGCCTGGCATGCGTGCTGCCAGGGTTCCATCCCCAGCACCACATACAAACAAGGATGTTGTGTCCGCCGAAAACTAAAAAATAAATGTTAAAATTCTCTCTCTCTCTCTCTCTAAAAAAAAAAAAAAAAAAAAGAAAAAAAATTTTTTTCTCTTTTTTCTGTGGGGAGGGTAACTGAGGATTGAACCCAGGTGGGCTCTACCACTGAGCTACATGCTCAGCCCTTCTTGTTTTTTGTTTTTTTTAGACAGTATCTCACCAAGTTATCAAGGCCAGCCTGGGCAACTTAGTGAGACCCTGTCTCAAAATAAAAAGTAAAAAGGCCTAGGGATATAGTGCATCAGTAGAGCAACCTGTATTAAATCCCTAATATCAGAAAAAAATAATTGGAATACAGGGCTGGGAGCATAGCTCAATAGTAGAATGCTTGCCTAGTATGCTCAGGGCCCTGGATTTGATCCCCAGAACAAGGAAGGAAAAAGAAAAGGAAAAGAAGAAAGAAAGAAGCTAGGCATAGTAGCACATGCCTGTAATCCCAGCTGCTCTGGAGCTAAGGCAGGAGGATCACAAATTCAAGGCCAGTCTAGGAAACTTAAATTAGACTCTGTCTCAAACTAAAAAATAAAAATGACTGGGGATGTGGCTCAGTGGTAAAGCAGTCCTGGGTTCAATCCCCAGAACTGCAAAACAATTAAAAAAGAAAGAAAAAAGGGCTGGAGTTGTGGCTCAGTGGTAGAATGCTCGCTTAGCACGTGCAAAGGACATGGGTTCCATCCTCAGCACCACATAAAAATAAATAAAATAAAGGTATTGTGTCCAACTACAACTAAAAAATAAATATTTTTAAAAAAAGAAAGAAAGATTGGGGCTGGGGATGTGGCTCAAGCGGTAGCATGCTCCGCTGGCATGCGTGCGGCCCGGGTTCGATCCTCAGCACCACATACAAACAAAGATGTTGTGTCCGCCAAAAACTGAAAAATAAATATTAAAATATTTTAAAAAGAAAGAAAGAAAGAAAGAAAAAACCCACAGCTATCTACGTATATTAGACTTCTGTTTGTTCTGTTTTGTAGTACTAGGGATTGAACCCAGGTGTGTTCTAAAACTGAGCTACATTCCCAGCCCTTTTTTAATTTATTTTATTTTGAGATGGGGTCTCTAGGTTGCCCAAGCTAGACTGGACCTTGTGATCCTTCTGCCACAGTCTCCCAAGTGATGAAATTATAGGCATGTGACACCATATCTAGCACATACATTACTTTTTAAATTTATTCTAGCACACCAATATTTTAAGTAATGACATAAAAGTATAAAACGTCCTTTTAAATATAAATTTGTTATTTTGTATATTCCAGTGTAACTCCTTATGTAATTAGCTTTCCCAACTAAATATAATTAATTTTTCCAAATTAGGAAAATTCTTCAGGAAAGTAAAAATTCAGAAAAAATGCAGGTGTGAAAACAAGTGTTGAGCCAGGCAAGTGGCACATGCCTGTAATCCCAGAAGCTCTGGAGGCTAAGGCAGGAGGATCTCAAGTTCAAAGCCAGCCTCAGTAAAAGCAAGGCATTAAGCAACTCAGTGAGACCCTGTCTCTAAATAAAACACACACAAAGAAAGGGCTGGGGATGTGGCTCAGTGGTTAAGTACCCCTGGGTTCAATCCTCAATACCAAAAAAAAAAAAAGGTATAAAGAAAACAAATGTTGTTAGTCTGAAGGACCTAGAAGGAGTCTGGGGAAAGATCCCTGAGCCCTGAGCCCTGAGCAGGGGAAGTACTGAGTCAGGACACATTCTCCCCTTCCCTAGCATACCCATGCAGTGCTACTGATAATGCCATGTACTCATAAGTCTTTGTTCCCAGGTTTTATTACTAATCAATCCTCTTTTTATTTTCACATCAACCACCTAAAATTTCTTAAAAAATAAAACTCAAAGAAAAATCCTAATATCAACTAGTTGGTAAACCTTTTTCATAAAATATTACTGCTAAGGCTGATAGATATGTTATTTACCTGATTTGTCTTCATCCTCAGAATCTGAATCAAAATATATATCATCGTAATACTTCGCCGGAGCTATTCCAACTTTATTATTTCCTGAAGAAGACCCTATGAAAACCAGAAATTAAGTTTATAGACTAATCATACATAATTCATAAGAAAAAACCTCCATGTCTTCTTTCATTACTACAAAGTAATATCAGCTTATTCACAATCTCATTTGGATGGTTAAATATTTTCACATAGTGACATACTTTATTTTATGCTCTATGCAATTACAGAAAACTGCCCCCCCACCTTAATTTTAGTATTCTAAATCTTTTTTCCTTCCCAAAAATCTAATTAATTTTTTAAGGGGCTGGGGTTCAGCAGTAGCACACTTGCCTGGCATGTGTGGGCACTGGGTTCAATTCCCAGCCCCACGTATAAATAAATAAATTAAATAAAGGTCTATCAATAACTAAAAAAAAAAAAAAATTTAATTTTTTTTTTTTTTTTTAAAGGCCACCTTTTCAGGTTGCCCATATACAAATCTCTATCTTTCAGACAGGGAGTGCACTGTGAAGAACAGGGAATGAGTATCTTGTTTTAAGGGAGCTTAATGGAAAGAAAAGCTCTAAGGAAAGGCAAGGGAATGACGAAGACACACTTTTCCTCTCTTCAACTGTACTCAGTTCCATACTATTACCTATACTTATATCATCACATGCCTGTCTCCCTCATTCTTCCTCTAATTAACACTTGCTTTAGTTGTTGTTGTGGTTATTATTATATGCTTTCAGTTCTTACCAGTTAATACATAAAATACCAATATAGTAACATGAAAACCAGTGCTGAAGAGTCCTACTTTCACAAATTAGATTTTGGGTCAGGTACATTTAACAAAAAGACCAAATTTAAAATATAAAATGTTTTATTACTTACTAAAATAGGAATTTATGATGATACATCATTAAATCTGCCATCAGTGACATCTAATGTTCAAAATACCTATAAGACTCATGTGTCTTTTTTTTAATCCTTGAGTAAAAACTACAAAAGGACATTATCCAAATAAATAATGCTAAATAATGTCTTTTCAACAACGCATGACATTTTCCCATAGTCATCAAAGAAAACTCTGGTTCAGTTGCCAAACATAATTCCTTCACCCAATTAGTATTTACTGTGTGTGCACCTATAGAAAGTTCTGGAAACACAGAGCATGAGTAAGCTTCCTAGCCTATGGAGCTTATAAAAATAGGTATAAAAACCGAATCAAAAGCGTATCTGTTCCAGGGCTGGGGTTGTGGCTCAGCAGTAGAGCTGCTAGCACGTGCCAGGCCCTGGGTTTGATTCTCAGCACTGCATGTAAATACATAAATAAATAAATAAATAAATAAATAAATAAATAAATAAAGCGTACCTGTTCCTAGAGAAGATAATTTGTCCTCCATTGTTTTTATGGTAGAATTCAATTCAGCTTCCATTTCTTTTTCAAATTCATCTTCACTAGATGACTCACTTTCTCCAGTAAGACATTCTCTGATGAGTTTTCGTTTTTGGTCTGGAGTTCCATGTAAAAGCACATCCACTTCATCTTCAGAGCTAAATACATATACATATATAAATATTAAAAAATTAAAATCACTCAAAATTCATTCTCATCATCTCACTGTTTAATTATTTTGACTTTACAAGGTTACATTTGATATTATATACAGCAATTCTCACTTGGTAAATCAATTGTCTTGCTTATTTCCATTTATTTATCTATCTACCTACCTACCTATGTATTTAGTTATTTACAAATGGAGTCTATGTGCCCAGCATGACCTCAAACTTATGGGCTCAAGTGATCCTTCTGCCTCAGCCTCTCAAGTAGCTGGGACTACGGTGTGTGCCAACAGAGTACTTGACTCCAAATTTTTTAAAGTCTATATAACATTTCCTCTTATAGATTCCATACATTTATTTCTAAATTCTTTGTTATTAAATGTTACGATGAACATTTCTGTGTAGGTAACTTCTTTAGGATAAACGTCTAGAACTAGATACAAACATCATTCTGACTTATTGTATTATCACATTACTTTCAAAAATCATTGTACCAATTCATAATTCCATCAAAAATAAAAAGTTTACTTCACAGAACTGGCAGCTTTTTAAGTTCTGAATACTTAAATAAGACATATACGGGTGTCGGGGTTGTGGTATAGTAGTATAGTGCTTGCCTAGCACATGTGAGGCACTGGGTTCAATCCTCAGCACCACATATAAATAAATAAATAAATGGTATTGGGTCCATCTACAACTAAAAAAAAAAATTTAAAGCTATGAAATGTTAACAAAGTAAATTAAATGCCTGTAAAATTTTCAATGTAATTTGTAGTACATAAATAATATTCAATTACTCACAGACTAGTAAACAGATACAGAATATTCCTGATTTGACTTCTCTGTTCTCTGTTATAGAATAGTGCTTTTGCCGGGCATGATGGCATACACCTACAGTCACAGCTGCTCAAGAGGCTGAGGCAGGAGGATGGAGAAAGTTCAAGGCCAGCCTCAGTAATTTGCAAGATTCTAACTTAAAATAAAAGGGGTTCAGAGTGTAAGCACCCCTGGATTCAATCCCCAGTACTGGAAGGAAAAACCAAAAGTAAATCAGAAAAATGCAATTCACACCAATTTCAATAAAGACTGAGGCTTTAGCCATTACCACTATTTTCATTCAGGTCCTTTTAGCCCTGCTTGTACTACTATAAGTTAAGGATCTCTAGGCCTCCAAACTCATCATTTTCACTCCACCCTTAATCCTATTGCCAAACTATTTTTCCTAAAGAACTCTCATCTCACCACTACCCAACTCAGGAGCCTTCCATGGTCAATCCTCTGAGCACACCATTAAAAATACCCTTCAATCCCAGAGGCTCAGAAGGCTGAAGCAGAAGGATTGTGAGTTCAAAACCAGTCTCAGCAAAAGCAAGGTGCTAAGCCACTCAGTGAAACCCTGTCTCTAAATAAAATACAAAATAGGGCTGGGGATGTGTCTCAGTGATCCAGTGCCCCTGAGTTCAAGCCCCAATACACACACACAAAAAAAAAAAAAAAAAAAAAAAAACTGACTCCAACTAATCTTATCAACTTTACCTTCCACTCTTTTTTTTTTTAAAGAGAGAGAGAAATTTTTTAATACTTATTTTTCAGTTTTCAGCAGACACAACATTTTTTATTTTTATTTTATGTGGTGCTGAGGATCGAACCCAGCGCCCCGCGCATGCCAGGCGAGCCACATCCCCAGCCCACCACTCTTGCCCTCTATCTAGCTACCTTGGTCTTAAACAAGGGGCAATTTTCCCTCCCAGGGCATATTTAACATGACTAGAGAAATTTTTGATTGTCACCACTGGGCACAGGGAGAATAGGCTACTTGCACACAGTGGCTACAGGCCAGGGATGCTGTTAAATACCCTATAACGCTCAAGATATCCCCTGCAAGTGGATCACAGTGGCACATGCCTGTAATCCCAGAGGCGCAGGAGGATCATGAGTTCAAAGCGTGCCTCGGCAAAATCGAGGCACTGAATAATATTATTTAGAGATCCTATCTCTAAATAAAATACTCAGTAGTCACATGCCCCTGAGTTCAATCCCTAGTACCAAAAACAAAACAAAACAAAAAAAAGATATCCCCCAACCAAAAAGAATTATCTGACCCAATATGCCATCCAGTGCTGTCAAGTTTGAGAAACTCTGATCCTATAATCCAGTGTTTCAAAAGTATGAAATGTAAATTATTTTAAGTAGTAGCAGGATGATCAGCCCAATAAGTTAACACTGAATTCACTGCTGAAGGGAATGTGAAATAGTACAGCTTGGCAGTTTCATATAAAACAAAACGTGCAACTATTACACAACCCAAACCTTTGTAACTCCTAGGCATTTACCCACCCCCAAAAAAATGAAAACTTAAGTTCACCCAAAAACCTATACATGAATATTTATAACAGCTTTATTCTCAACAGCCAAAACTAGAAACAACTCAAATGTCATTCAATGAGTAAACTGTGGAATACTACTCAGCCATTTAAAAAAAAAAAAAGGAATGAACTAGTGATACATGCAACAACCTGGATGAATCTCTAGAGAATTATGCTGAGTGAAAAAGAGCCAAGCCCAGAAGGTTACACAGTGTATGGTCCCATTCACGCAGCATTCCTAAAATGACAAAATTATAGAAATGGAGAAAAAATTAGTGGCTGCCAGGAGTTAGGTAGGGCATGGAGGTGAGAAGGAAGTGGGCATAACAGTTAAAGAGCAGCAAGAGGGATCCATGTGGTGATAAAATGTTCTGTATTTTGACTGTCATGGTCCATCTCCTAGCACTATAGTTTTCTAATATGTTAACATTGGAGAAAACTGTGAAATGTATATGGGATCTCTATATTATTTCTTACAACTGCTTGTCAATCTATAATAACTTCAAAATAAAAAGTTTTTAAAAAATTGAATCAGAAGACAAGAGCATTCCTCTTTTTGCAATTTTTCTCCATTCCTTGTAGTTATTTCAAGGCAAGTCATAGTCTTTAGCACTGCTGGAAGAGGCAAAACAAGCTCTGCATATTCTTGCTGAGTTTGCCAAGAATGCAAGGTTCTGACCACTCTTCACTCAGGCCATTTCTCAGCATTGTGTTTGCAGCAAGCAACCCTGAGGAATGAGATAATGTTTCCTTCCAGCAGAGAGAGTAGGTTTATTTATTGTCAGCTTTCAAAGAGGTGATTCTCTTAAGTATTCTTTAATCACCATACAAACCCACAGAATATGCAGATTCATCTAGCACGATCCCTTCTTGGAACCCCTGTAAGATGGAAAAGTAAGAGCAACCAACATGACATGATGCTTGCTATGCTACTTGTAGTCTTTTCTCTGACCCAGAAGTCTCATATCTTCTGCCAGCTTCCATCAAACAGCAACAGGCTTTGATATTTGTTTAATTAGTGTAAAAATAAATCTTAACAGAGACTTCTCAACCATCTAACACCAATATCTCCTTTTTATTTCCTTTTTTTGGGGTGGTGGTGGTGGTAGTAACTAGGGATTGAACCCAGAGGCATTGTACTACTGAGCTACATCACCATTCTTTTTTATTTTGAGACAGGATCTCACTAATTTGCTGAGGATAGCCTCGAACTTTCAATCCTCCTGCCTCAACCTCCAGAGCAGTCATCACCCCAACACCAATCTCTTTTTAAAATAACATTGAGGTCAGAGCCCTCAGCAAGCAATGCTGTCTAATAACATTATTTTCTTTTCACAATATTTATAATTACCTTACCGGTGACAACTGTCATAGGATTATAAAGCTTCCTTAAAGAAATTTAATTTCAACTGGGCACAGTGGTGCACACCTGTAATCCCAGCTGCTTGGGAGACTGAGGCAGAAGGACTTAAAAGTCCCAGGTCAGCATCAGCAATTTAGGGAGAACCTCTCTAAAAATAAAATTCAAAAAGGTCTGGGGGTATGTGGGGGGGGGGGGTGGCTCAGTGGTAGAGAACCCCTAGGTTCAATCCACAATGGGGCAGGGTACAAAAAAATTTAACTATAAAAATGTAATTGACTGGCTGGGATTGTGGCTCAGAGGTAGAGCGCTCGCCTAGCATGTGTGAGGCACTGAGTTAGATCCTCAGCACCACATAAAGTAAAATAAAGACATTGTGTCCACCTATATCTAAAAAATAAACACTAAAAAAGTAACTGACCTTAAGAAAAATATTAAGTCAATAACAACACAGGGGAGAGAGGATAACAGAATAACTCAAATCCAGAAACACTGCTATATTCCAATCAAACTAAATATAAACTGAATTACTAAGTAATGTAGCTCCTTTCACAGTCAATACCTATTAACTGAAACTCTTTTTCACAGGGAATCTTACTATCCATTCTCACTCTTCACCACAGAAATCCTTTCAGCAGTCTGGTCTTCCATGTCTACAACTGTTCCCCAGGACAATGAGGAACCATTGTGAACGAATAAAGTGCTTCACAGAAAGCTTCATCAGGCAGAATTAACTTTTTAAAGTTTATGAATATGACCCACTGACAGCTAAAGAAATAGCTAAAAGATTTTCACAGGAAAATCTTTTGACAATACAACTACAAGTTTCTTTCAAGTAGGATAAATCCTCTCTTCTGGAAATTCCCATTTCATCTGTGTCTATTTCGGTCCATCATTTTCTAAAATGCTCTTCCAAAATATATACATCATCTCACTAACCCTATATAATGTAAGCCTTTGAAAACCAAGGCTTTTAGTGATTTACCTCTGTAGCCCACAACAAACATACAGTAGTAAAATTGCCTGTTCAATATTCCCTTATTTCTGTTTCACAGGTCAGTCTTTTAGATGGACACTTCAGAGATTGGGGCTGTAGCTCAGCGGTAGAGGACTTAACCAGGCATGTGTGATCGCGGCTCTGGGTGACTAAAAAAAGGCACTTCACATTAAGTCCTTTGACCATCACTATACACTTACGATATATCTCCATACTTATTATATTTCCTTTTTCATAGATGTAAAACCGAGGAAAAGTGACTTGCCTT